AGGTGACGGTGCACAGGTGCATTGGTGAAGGAAACTCTATGGGGACTACACCTGAGGGGATGGGGGGGAAGAAATATTGTTTAAAAATGAACAATGATGTAAAAAATTTTTAAAAAATTAATATTAAAAGAAAAGCACAAATTTTGGAGTCTGGTCAAGCTAATTACCATGCTTGCTACTTGTTAGTTGAGTATTACTGACTGAGTTATGTAACCTCTCTGAGACTTAGTTTCCCGATCCATAAATGGAAACACTAATTCCTAGGCCCTCAGGTCTCTTCAAGTATTAAATAATGTAAGTAAAAAGCTTATTACCAAATGTCTAACATACAATAATGTCAAGTGGTTGCTGTTATTAATAAAATATTAAAAGGGTAAGGCTAGACAGTAGGAAAAGACAGAAATTGTATAATCTTTCAATAATTTATCAAAAATATGAGTCTGAGATGACTATTTTCTATGACATTAACATATATTGTTAGAATTTGTGATAATCAGGTTAGGGGAGAAAAAAGAAAAATGTTAATTTTATTATTTTGTTTAAATAATTTACAGCAGCAATCAGTAAAGCAATATGCCCATGATTATGGGAAATAATTAAATCATTGTTAGAAAATATTTTGTGCAAGTTCTTGCCAATAAATTGACAATCTAGAAGAAATGTGTGATTTACTAGGAAAAAACTACTTTTAAAATAAGACTCAAAAAGAGAAAGAAAACCAACAAGTTAATAATCATGCAAAAAAAAGAGAAAAATATGAAAAAGTCCAGATAATTTTGCAAGCATATCCTATAAGTTTCAAGGAAAAGCTAGCATGGTTAATTTTCTATTACTTAAACACTTTTAGAACATAGGGGTAACAGGTGGAGGTATTCTCAATTCCTTTTATACAGTTAAATTAAGCCTAATATCAAAATAAGATAAAAACAGCACAAAGAAATAAAACTATGGACCAATCTAAATTACACATATAGATTCTGAAATTATGTAAACAAAATATAAGTTAATTAAATCAAGCAAGTAATTAAAATAGCAATTACGTAGAATTTATTCTAGAAATGTAGGAAAGAGTCAGTGCAGAAAATACATACAGTTCAGTACATTTATAAACTGGAAGATCAAAAATTATATTATTTTTACCATCAGATCCCAAAAAGGCATATGATCATTTCAGCAGTCATCCCTAAATATCATAAAGCACTAGGAAATCAAAACTGGTGAAATACCAAAGAAACTTCCATTAAAACAGAAACAAAGAGAACCTACTAACACCAAATTTTTCAACAATTTCTAGAGTTTAGCAAATGCAATAAGATAAGAAAAAATAAAAGTGATATAAATATTGGAAAAGATGGAAAATATCATTACCTCAAATACTATGATTGTATACTGTGACAAGAAGTGTAACATTAAAATAAATGCTAGTATTAATTAGAGATTCCAGTAATGGGAAAGCATACAGGAAATAAATTTTAAAATCCATAGCTTCCCTACATATATTAACATAAGCAGATTTAAAACATTAAATAGAAAATAAAAGACCTATTATAAGAGAGTTTTATCAAAATAAATAGGCTTTTTTTTTTCATTTAACCCTAAACTTTTTTTGAGATAAGAGTACAGATTTAAAAAAACTTTTAAAATTTTTGAAGTACACACATATATATAAATATACACACACATATATATATTAAGTTCCCACTCTAAAATAGTTCACTCTATTTGCCCTTCCTCAGTATATAATCATATTGTTACGTAAAGCTGAAATAAATCACAAAGAAAAAACCTGAATTTTTGAAGGTTGGTTGCTTCAACACAAAACCAGTTGACTTGGATATTAAGTAGGGGCATTAAACCATAAAATAGTCTGTGGGTAACAGCTAAAAAGTCTTTGTAAAATGTAACAATTGTGTTGCTAAAGAACAGTGGTATTAAACCATCATTACCAGAACTGGTATTTATTTTGTATTTATATGGTTACCATGTTTGATTAACACTGAGTTCAGGGCCTCCCCGGTGGCGCAGCGGTTGAGCGCTGGGTTGCGAAGCTGCCCGCGGCCTCTGCGGCGCCGGTTCGATCCCCGGCTGCTCCCCGGCCACCAGAGGAGGGTCCCACATGGCGCGCAGACCTCTCCTGCTGCCCGCTGCTCCCCTCAGCAGTGTACTTCAGTCCTTCTGCCTGCTCTGCTCCCCACTCTGGCTCTGGTGAATTCTCTCACCCTCCCGCGCTTCTGACTGTACCCAGTGCATGTATAAACGAAACAAACAAACAAACAAAACAAAAATAAATAAATAAAAAGCATGCCTCTATAAAAAAAAAAAAAACACTGAGTTCACTCCCATTTCAAATAATAAAAACAACAGTGTCATGATGCAGGATTCAATGTGTTGGTTTGTTTTTTAAGAGTGGTAAGTTTGGGGCAAAGAAGCTCATAGTCGGTGAACTACTAGTTTTAAAGTATCTGAAAAGAAAGACCTATTATAAAAGAGTTTTATCAAAAGCCTAATTGAAAATATCCTTCATCTGCATCATCACAGAAAACAAGGTGCTGCATACAATCATGCAGCATTAACCTTGAGAAAATTCAATTCAGTCTCACTTTAGTATTGCACCAAACCAGGTTATTTGCACAACAGAATGTCTTAAAGCCTCATGGATCCTTTATTTCAGGGGGGAAAAAAATTATCTGGAAATTTTTTTTAAAAATAACATTACATAAAATGAGTTACGTTTTCCACCATTAACATTAAAAATTTGGGATTTGCAAAAAAGGGAAACAATGTGTATTTCTAATAAAAAGATAATTAAGCACAGGTTTCTGTGCACGCACGCACACACACACACACACACACACAATTTCCCTGAAGCTTTATGAAGATTTAACTATTTGTCAATGGAGTAGGAAGGTCATTTGTCCATTAAAAAAACTCAGTTTCTAAATGTGATTTCAAAATCTTCAGATTATCAATTGATTGGCTAGAAATGTACTGAGTACCTACTCTACTGAGTACCTACTCTGTACTAAATACTTATTGTGATACAACTAAAAAATACATCAGAAAAAGACTTTTTTTACATTATTACAACTAAAATGTAACGTGCTAATGAGGCTGAGTTAATTATATTTAGCATCCAGTATATAGAGCAAAATTCTGAACAATCAAAATAATTATATGCTTAAACAACTCAACTTTTAAAGTTTCCATCACTATTCTTTAAGTTGATATCTACCCTGGTTTTCTTTTCCAGTTATAAAAGAATGAAGAAAGTTCCTAAATAAGACCAAATACAAAAGAATAGGAAAGAGAAGGAATGTATTAGTTCTTGAATTCTTGTTTCCATTTGCTCTCAGAGTGCTTCCAATGTTCCATTTTCTCTTCAAAGAAAATCATGATTTGGAAGAACAAAAAGTACAATCCTCTTTAACATCTAAAAAAAGTATATTGTTTAGCTCTTACTAAATTAGCAAAAGATTAAAAATAAGAAAAATTACTAAAACAAACCTTTAGTCTAAGTTATATAATGCCATTCACCATGGTAACAATCTGATACTTTGGCATATGGCTTTTTAAATATTACCAACAGGTAAGTCTCCCTGAAAATTTCCTATGCTGTCCTAAAACAGTCCTTGGGGAGTTTTTACCAGAGTGTTTGCTCATAACTTAAATGTTAATTTAAAGAAATGCCAGTTCCATTCCCTAAATAATATATTTTTTAGAAGTGTGATTTAAGTGGGATAAAAATAATTATTGCCTTTTCCTCACCCCTAAAGAGGAAGCATTCGTGCATTCTGCTGATAACTTGAATGTTAACTAAAAAAGGTCAATTCTATCCCGTAATTGACATATTTTTCAGAAAGGTGATTTAGTTGGGGAAAAATATTTATTGCCTTTTCCTCCCAAGGAAAACAGATGCCTTCCTGTATTTCATCATCTCTAAGAGTGTCTCGCTTTGTAGATAGAAATATATGGATACAGATATAGACATAGATATATTTAGATATGTGTTGGATCCGATTTTGAAATCTCTCTTCCTCTTATTGATTCTTTATTCTCAGTGTGACTCTCAAACTGTACTGTCTTTCACATTTTATTCACTTACTAATGAATAATTGAATACTTGAATGCAAGCTACACACTTGAATGCAAACTACATACTTAGCTTTATATCAGATGTAATACAAAAGAACTAACTATAAGACAGTCTCTGCCTTAGAGAACCCTGTGCTCTCTTTCAGAGGCAAGATAAAATATAATATATTGTAAGGAATGTATAAGACTAGTGCTATCATCAATGGTACAGGTAACATGCATTTTACAATTATTTGGAATTTTAGAGCTTCAAAATAGTTTCTTGTATTTTATCCTCAGAACAATCTTGCCAAGAACTCTTTTAGCAACGAGGTACCTGAGATTCAGGATTTGAAGTGGCATGCCTCAATCAAATAGAGTGAAAGGGTCCAACTCAAGTCAGGGTTTGCTAATTCTAAGGGCTCTCTTCAACCACAGCACAGGAAACCAAGGGTTGGGATATTCAACAGGCCAACATCCAGCCTTCTACTAGAGCTGGAATTAAACTAGATCTGACAGGATGTCAGGAAAACATATAGCCATGTGACCAGTGTCCAGTCAGACGTCTAAATTAATTTTATTCTGCAAATATTTGTACTTCAGTATAATACACACTAAATACAACTGCCATTTCCTTAATTCTAGCACATTTGCCTCCTCAATACGAGCTTTGCTTTCAGAAATGGCCTAGAGGGATCATATAATCTTAAGGTCTGGTTTCTACTAACCCTTACACATTTTGTTAGCCCTGAGCACCAGAGAGCGTAACTGGTCCCCATCCTGGTCTATCACTCTTGCTGCAAACAACCACTTATTTTAACCAGTCAATGACTGACCCTACCCTAAATTCCACAGATGCACCCCAGTTTTGCCACCCTACCTCAATCCCTACCCAGACACCTCCCCCTCCCTCACAGTGGATGTGATACCTAGTTCAGGTTTTGCAGGTGCCGCTGCGATGCTGTCACACAGCACTGACAGATAAGATTTGACCTTTAGACTCCGTCCTTGGGGACCTCCCGCTGGCCGCACAGAGCAGTTCCAATCTCTGGAAGGGGCTCCCGACTGGAGAACGCAGCCACGGGCAGCAGAGTCCGAAGCGATGTCTCTGACAACTAGAACGCTGCCGGGCGCCGGGGCGTGCATCACTCCGCCTCATACTCCTGCCAACCGCAGGGGATTGGGTCGGACAACCAGTCCATCCCGCCCCACAGACGAGTCCCAACCAGCCGGGCCTTGCGCAGGTCCCCGCTGACAGGCTGTTGGCGGCGGCGGTGGCGGCAAAAGGCAAGGCCACCCACCTCCAGTGCCCACCGCCGCCAACCTAAGCCCCCCGGCGGGACTGGACCGCAGAGAAGCGTTTCTATGGAAACCGCTAATGATCACGTGACTCCCTCATGCGCCCAATCGCCTCTAACCTCCGTCGGCGGCTCCGACTGCTCCCCTCCCTCCTGCCCCGCCTCCTCCCGCCCCGCCTCCTCCCGCCCCCGCCTCCTCCCGCCCCCGCCTCCTCCCGCCCCCGCCTCCCCGTCCGGCCCCGCCCCTTTCCTGCGGAGAGTCTGCGCCTGCGCACTGCATCCCTCAGTACAGCGCGGGGGTGGCGGCGGCGGCTCGCCGAGCGCGCGAACTTGAGGAGGAAGCAGCGCCGCCAGCGCGCAAGCGCAGAACCTCCCGAGCCGCGGCGGCCGGCGACGCCCAGAGCGGAAGAGGGAAGTGAGGGCTCCAGCTGCGGGGTCCTGCCGGGCCGGGCGAGCTGAGGGAGACGCTGCAGCGGGAGGAGGCCTTGGTCGCCGTGCGGCTCCGGGATGTCGAAGAACACGGTGTCGTCGGCCCGGTTCCGGAAGGTGGACGTGGATGAGTATGACGAGAACAAGTTCGTGGACGAGGAAGACGGCGGCGACGGGCAGGCCGGGCCGGACGAGGGCGAGGTGGATTCCTGCTTGAGGCAATATCCTTACAGGCGCGCCCCACCCCTCCGGGCCTCCTCCCGCACCCCGCGGCTGCCGGGGCGCGGGCCCCCCCCCGGGGCGGCGCCGAGCTGCCCCCGCCACCCGAGCCCGTCGCCTGGGGGTCCCCCGCTCTCGCTTCCCTCTGGGGCGCGGGGAGCCCCGGGTCCCGCCGCGGACTTCTGCGTGGCCCGGTTCCCGGGTGGCGCCGTCGGGACCTGGCTCCGCGGCCGCGCCCTCGCGGGGGAGCCGGCTGGGCGGGGGAGCCGGCTGCGCGGCCGGGCGCGCAAGTTTCCTTCGGGGCGGTATTTGCTGGGGTCGCTTTAGCGCCAGAAATGACTGACTGAGAGTCACGGACGTCTTTCGCTAGTGATTTTGGACTTTGTTGTGGTTTTATTTTGTTTTGGCAGCATTAGCATAGTTTATTCCTTGCCGGGAGAGACGGGGCGACTTGCAGAATTGAGGCCCACTGTCCTTTCGGTGGGCTCTGGGGGAAAAAAAAAAAAAAAGAGGAAGGGATTGGTGAAATATGGGTTGCACAGAATTTGTTAACCCGGAGGTAGGGGAGCGAGTGCAAAACAACCAATAAAGCTCCTAAAAAGGAAGCTTGGAACCTTTTGCTTTTAAGAAAAGGACAGACGGGGAATGCAAGTGGAGAATTCTTGGAAATATTTATAATAAACCCGTGAACAAAAAGATGAGTCATTTGTACAAAATAGAATCATTTTTGGAATCTTAAATCGTTTCCATTTTAGTTGAAATGTGGCTGTCAGTTCCTGCTTGGGTTTTTTGTGTGTGTGTGTGTTTGAATATTCATGACTTTCAGTGATTATTTGCATTTGATCTTTTTGGAAAAATGTAAATGTTGCAATAACTAAAACGGTCGTTTAGAGATTAACAATTACCGAATTCACTCATTTCTAATTTCCTGGGTGTATGCATAAAACAGGAAGACTTTTTCCGGCTCTTTCCTTATCATCCTGTTAAATTTTAATGAGAATATGCGTGAAACCGATCAGTATACAGTTGTTTCTTTGATTTCTACAACTTTCACATTGTAATTGTGTATTATTTAAATACTTGGTTAGTGTTTTAGGTCTTAAAAACGAGCCATTCTGCAAAAGGCATGCTCCTCCAGAAGTCCATTATGCCTTGAAAACAGCTTACCAACCACAGGGTTCTTTGTATAGCTTTTTCTCCAGACAATGAAGAGGTGAACATTATTCTATCTGAAAACATTCCTCCTGAATGTTTTGTGGATTAGCTTATTTTAAGTGATGTGTAATGACTCTTTCCTGGTACTGCTGTATATATGCCTATAGTGAATTTGTTCTTTAGTCAATTCATCTTAAAATATAAAGATATTATGTACTCTTATAGAAGAGACAAGCACTGGAGATGGAAGAACAAGTGAACTCTTGTTTTCCTTTTAGGGAAATGATTGTACATTCTGACAATCTGATTGGCCTTCTGTGTCTCATACTTGCTAACTCACTGGTACATTCAGAAAGACTAAATTTAATAGGTATGGCCTAAGACAGTTTGAATAATCTCTATGAAATATGAGAGAAAACATTCAAAACTGAAAAAATTAAGTTGTCACCTAGAGATCATTAAATTACTGTCTTTTGTAATGCCTCTTTTCACTAAGATTGAGAAATTGCTAATGTGTATCATTCAAATTGCTAGTCTACCAACATTTCAATTAATCTGGAATATAATTCTAGTAAAAATTTGGTATTTGTCCATTTAGAATCACATATAAAAGACATACTTTGGCCAGTGATAAACTGTTTCATTTTGGAGTGTGATTCTGAAATGTATTTTGGAGTTTTGTGGGTTTTTTTAATATTACTATGGATAAAGTCTGTATATTTGTCTTACTAGGAAATGTAACATTACAGGGTGTTCATTGAAGTAGTCTTGCTGTTTAAAAGAAAATTACAATGTTCTCTTTGGTTTTCATTATTTTGGTTTTGATTGACATCCTTAAAAGCAGCAAATTGAATTTTCCAATAATGAACATAGGAAACATAGGAACATAGGAAATTTTCCAATAATGAACTTTTTGTCCGTAAAGTCAAGTCTTAAGAACCAGTGGTTCCTGGTACTTATAGTGCTTTGCAGAGGTCTGCCCTTTGCTGCTATCCCCTTAACCTCCAGAACAGGAAACATGACGGCAGCCCTGCAGGCGGCTCTGAAAAACCCCCCTATCAACACCAAGAGTCAAGCAGTAAAGGTAAGTCACAGACAAGCAATGATCTCTGCTGATGTGTTAGTATTGTTACCACAGTCCTCTGACTTTTCATAAAATCAACAGTAATTTAACTTTGACATAGCAGAGCTTACAATATAGTTTGATAGGTAAAATTTGCATATGTAAAATAGATCTTTCATAAAGTTATGTACCGTTACATGTTAGACACACTGTGTCAAACGATGGATCATTTTTTCTGTTTTTAGAGGTGGTCATCCAGATTGAATTTCAACAAAGGCTTAAAGAATAAGAAAAACGTTTACAAAATAAACAGATCCTACTTGCTTGCATTTTAAAGATTTTTGTTTTGATTATACAAGTATTGAATGTTTATTATAGAAATCTCAGACACACACACAGGAGATTAAAAAGGTAATCATCCATAGTCCCATCACACAGATAATTGTTACTACTTTTTGGTATTGCTACATGCTTGTAGAGTTTCAATGACAGCACATAGCTAACACTGCAGTTTATATATATTTAATCTATTGTCATATATTTAGATTATTGACCATTTTCTTTCCTGTTGTAAACAGTACTGATATGAACAATTTTTGGCAAATAATTATTTCCTTTGAATAGATACCTAGCAGTGAATATCTGGAGTTTAGATTGCATAATTTTTAGGCTTTTGGTATAGATGGTAACCAACTTGCCCTTCAGAAGAGCTGTGTACTAAGATTCCCTTCAGCGGTCCCTTCCACTGATTCTTAAGGACCTACTTGCTTAAGTTATTTACTGCTTAAACTTAAGCCCAGAGTAGTGACCCTACTGTTAATAGCAAATCATACCTCTCTGGAGCCCCAAATATCTCCTTAATTGAATAGTAGTAAGTAAAACATAGGTGAATGCGTAGTATTTATCAAGGCAACATTTTCTGTAAGGGGAAAATTTCTTTGGTTTTTAAAAGTTATGAGGAATACCATCAAAATTTTGATTTTACCACCTCTGCTTTTGTATGGATGGTTTTTATTGCAGTTTGTGGGTGGGAGTTGATAGTTCTGGATATAAGGGTGTTTTTCTAAATTGGGAAATTGCACAGACTTTAAACTGAAGACAACAATGGGTAGTAGAAACATTCTGTAAAATACTGACCAATAGTAATGCTGAAGGTAGCACTTTTGTCAGTAGGAGAAACAAATTGTTGGAAGGGTAAATTAAAGTGTTCCCTTTGCTTGCCTTAATGGATAAAATTACTTTTGTAGCAGCCTATTACCCAAGAAAATGGATGATTATAAATAAAGGTAACTGTATCTCATATCTGTGGTCACTGACTATAAATATGAAACTAAAAGTATTCTTGAAACTGAAGGTATCCTTAAAACTAAAATTTTATTAATAACTTATTTCTGAAGGATGACTTAAGGAAAACTACAATTTTGTTTCCTTGCTGGGATTTCTTTTTCAGATCAAGAAGTAGATTTTGATTTAATGAATTGGTGAATTAACACATCTCTGTTAGCAAATTCTTTCAGCTCTACCTTTATTAAATATGGCAACAATATGTCCATCTCTGCCTTCCTCCACTGCTCCATATTATCATTCTAGCCCAAACCAGCATATATTATTGTAGTTATTCCCTGTCTCCACCTGCTCTGTCCACTGTTTACCTACCCCTTTGGCTCCCAGCTAATTCTCAACATGGCATCCTGTTAAATATTGATTATGAGACTGCTCTTCTGAAAAACTTCCAACATCTCATTTCTCTTTGTAAAAGATGGCCTGCCAACTTCTGTTGTCGCATTACCTCTCTGACTTCATCTCCTGCTGTTCTCCCACCATTCTGATCCCACTACGTTGTGTCCTTTTGCTATTCTTACAGGTCACACTAACAGCGCTTATTCCTTTCTCTAAAATGCTTACCTCAAATATTCCCAAGTTTCCTCTTTCATGTTCTTTACCTCCTTTTTTTTTATTTACAGAGCATCATTTTCTCTTTTTCCGAAGTTTAATTAATTTTTTAAAATTTTCTTACATCATTGTTCATTTTTGTACAATATTTGATTTCTCCCCTCAGGTGTAGTCCCCTAACTTTTCCCACCACCACAGCACACGTGAACCATCACCATAGTCCTTTGTGCTCTTCCCTCTGTGTGACCTCTTTATTCAATGTCACCTTCTCAGTGTGACCTTTATAAAATTATTTCACCCAGATCTAAATGTTCTGTTGTTTATTTACCCTCAGGATCGAGCAGGCAGCATTGTTTTGAAGGTGCTCATCTCCTTTAAAGCTAATGATATTGAAAAGGCAGTTCAATCCCTGGACAAGAGTGGAGTGGATCTCTTAATGAAGTATATTTATAAAGGCTTTGAGAGTCCTTCTGACAACAGCAGTGCTGTGTTATTACAGTGGCATGAAAAGGTAAGTTATGAATTATAAAACTATGTGACTGGTTCCTTTATAATAGGAACCAAAATAACTGTTTTGACTTCTTGCTTATGTGTCTTTGTTTTCACAAATAAATGCCTACAGGGCCTCCCTGGTGGCCTAAGGGTTAAGTCTCAGTACTGTCAAGCTAATATGGCCAGCCCCTGAGTTTGATCCCCAGCCAGGAAACTAACCCACATGACACAGCTGACCTCTCCTATTTTACCTGCTGCTCCCCTCAGCAGTGTATTTCAGTAAATCCACCTGTTCAGCTCCCCACTCTCTCTGGTGAATCCTCTCACCCACTGCATCTCTGGCCTATACCCCAGCTCTTCTACTCAAAAATTTAATAATAATAATAAAAATTTTTTAAAAATAAATAAGTGCCTGAAAATCAAGAAAGTGTAGATTTATACTTACTAGTCTTGTCCTTAAAGGATCCTGATTTGTAGTGCTTGCTCAGTAATGGTTATTGTTCATTAAACATAATCTTGAACTTTGAATTAATTCAAACCTTTGTAAAGAAAATAAGTGATAAAAATCAAAAATGTTTTGACAGTGATCAAAAGGTAGAAACAACCCAGTGCCCATCAACAGATGAACAAAATGGGGTGCATGCAGACGATAGAATATTACTCAGCCAAAAAAAGGAAGTTCAGCATGAATGGACTTGAAAACACTATGCAAAGTGAAAAAATGCCAGACACAAAAAAAACAAATATTTTGTCATTTCATTGAATTATCATTATATTTCATTGAATTGAATTATATTTCATTGTAATTATATGAGTTATCTAGAATAGGCAAATTAATACAGATGGAAAGTGGAGCCAAGGGCTGAGGAGAGGGGAATATAGCTAGTTACTGGAATATGGGTACAGAATTTCTGTTTGGGATGATGGAAAAGTTTTGGAAATAGTGGTGGTGGCTGTGCGATATTGAGTGTAATTAATGCCACTGAAGTTTACATTTAAAGATGATTAAAATAGCACATTTTACATTACATGTTTTACCACAATTTAAAAACGAAATTGGGGTGGGGGGACCAAGATTTCTTAAATGTTTTTATCTGTTTTCTTATATTTTATTGTGCAATGTAAATGGAGGCTGGTACACTATCCATAAAAAAATAAAAGCTAGAAGGAATTTTTAGCTTTTTTTTTTTTTAAAGATTTATTTATTTATACATACAAGAACTGGGATATTGTTCTGACATAGAGGCAAGTGAGAGGATTCACCAGAGACAGAACGGGGAATAGAACAGGCAGACTGAGTGAAATACACTGCTGAGGGGAGCAGTGGGCGAGACAGGAGAGGTCTGCCACGCCATGTGGGTAGCTCTCCGGCCGGGATCGAACCCACGCTCCAGAGGCTGCAGACAGCTTCACAGCACTGTGCTCAACTGCCTGCGCCACCAGGGGAGGCCCTGGAATTTTTAGCTTTAATAAAATGTTAGTAAGGTAATCTTTTACACCTAACTCTTGCTTATATTGTAATAAATATAAACACTGTGACGTTTAAATAGAGCCAACACAGGTAAGGGATGTACATTCTTTAACACCTCACAGTATTCAAAACTCAGTTTTTCAGAAGCTGTTATCTGTGTTTCTGAATGTAAATACTTGCACAAGAAGCTGAGGATAGATAATAAAATTTGCTGTTTAGCCTTGGTCAGGTCACTTTATCCCTCATACATTACCTTGTTAGAAAGACCTGTCACAGGGGCCTCCCTGGTGTCCTAAGGGTTGAGTCTCACCTTTGTGGCCTGAGTTCGATCCCAGCTCAAGGAGCTAACCCACATGGCACAGCAGACTCTCCTCTCTTGCCTGCTGCTCCCCACTCTGTCTCTGGTGAATCCTCTCAACCCCCCACCTCTGCACCTCTGGCCTACATCCCAATTCTAGAAAAAATAAATTTAAAAAAAAAGACCTAACATAAAAGTGTAGGGAAACCATACCTCCCAGTTTTCCCAAGATAGCCCCAGTGCTCACTTACTGTCCCAACATGATTATGAATTAGTTTCCTTTCACTCTACAGCCTGCCAATTTGAAGAATAATTTTTATGGCCATCCTGTTCTTGGGACACTTTCTGTTTGCCAGGCACTATACTATTAGTTTACATTTCATTTAGTCCTCACAACAGTCCTCCCAAGCATACATCTTGATCACCTCAGTTTACAGATGAATAACCAGCTTCCAAACCTAAGTAGCCTAGTTCCGGTATAGCTTCATAACAAACACTGATTGAGCACTTACTGTATTCCAAGTACTTTATAAATATTAACACACTTAATCCTCATAAAAATACTTAGAAGGAAAGCTTGCTATTATTCCCCTTTTGTAAATGATGGGGCTCATGTTAGTTGTTTTTCTTATATCAGAGTTTTTGCAAACCCCATCTCCTATATATTTCTCACCTCATCCTCATTCGGTTCAAGTACAACTGTTCATAGCATCTATCCCAGTCTGTTGTTACAGCTTTCTAAACTGGTCTCCTGGTTACCGGTTTTTCCTCCCTCAAACCTTTTCCCCATCCACTTGCCAGAATGTTCTCTCCAAAATCCAAATCTGGCCCTGTCAGTCGCCTGCAGAATGAAGTCCAAATGCCAAGCCCGGCCACATCTTCCATTCTTCCTCTTTTGCTCTAGCATTGCCAGCTCTTTCTCTAAACCCCCTCTAATTTCACACCTCCATACCTTTGGTCATGATTTTCTTTTCCTGAGTGCCTCTTTACCCTTTGTGTCGATCTGTTAACCTTCTTATCCATTTAATGTATCATTTTCTCCAGGAAGCTTTATCTGACCATTCCACATTCCCCTAAAACCTTGGGTTGAATAGGTGCCCCTCCTGTTTTCATAGCACCAAAAGCACAGCTTTGTCATTTTACCCATTATATTAAAATGATCTGTTTATGTCTGTCTGTCTCTTCCCAGTAGACTGGAAAATGCTATATTTATTCACTCTTGTATCCTCAGTTGCGAGTACAGTACCCAGTACATGAAGGTATTCAGTGTTTTTTGAACAAAAGTAAACCAGAGCTTCAGATTCCTATACTTTAATCATAACTTCCAGTTTTTGTTTTTTTTGTTTTTGTTTTTTTTGTGTGTGGGACCCTCGCCATTGGCCGGGGATCGAACTGGCACTGCAGAGGCTGCGGGCAGCCTCACAACCCAGCTCTCAACCACTGCGCCACCAGGGGAGGCCCATAACTTCCAGTTTTTCAGTGTAAAGTCAAAGCTCCTAAATTCTTAGCCATTAAAGAATATATTCCTAGCTTGGGAGGAAAAAATCTGAGTAACCTAAATGGAACTGAGGATGGTTGATTCCTGTTTCAATTTCTCCTGGCAGTGCTGAGAATGAGAAAAGCAGAATGAATGTTCTAAGTTTATATTTGAGCACCTGTTTTAGAGAAGAACATTTTGCTGCAGATCGTTAAGAACATATTGTTATTTGAAAACAACATACTCACCAGAGTATGTTAATGCCTCACCAGAAAGTAGGTGTATGAGGGCAAGGATTCTGAAGTTTTGGTTTATTACTATAACCCTGGTGCAAACGCTAGTTGCCTGGTACATAAGGGGAGCTCAAAACTATTTTTTTTTAATTAATCCAAAATCGATAGCTACACACTTCCTTTCGCTAAGAAAAATGTTTTAGTTGGTACAAGAAACTGATTCTAATTGTCAATATTTACATTTTGTTTTCTTTTTAGGCACTTGCTGCAGGAGGAGTAGGATCCATTGTTCGGGTTTTGACTGCAAGGAAAACCGTGTAATCCAGTGAGAGCTGGTTATCTGCTGTGGGTGTGGGAGTTGCTGGTACAAAGACCAAAACAACCAAATGCCACCACTGCCCTTTGGGTAGCATCTGTGTGTCTCAGCTTTGCCTTCTTGCTTCCTTTTTCATATCTGTAAAGAAGAAAATGACATATCAGTTTTGCTTTGATGAAAATTGGAATAATATATAGGAAATGTTGTTCCAACAGGAGTGTTTCATGTTCTCAAAACCATTGCAGTGATGAGTGTATACCAGTCTGTATGTAATATAATTTACATCAAATTTAATTGTGCAATTTTTTAACCAACCCCTATGACTGGTGTTTTGGGGGATTGAGTTTTTTTGTCGTCGTCGTTTTTGTTTTGTTTTTGACTAATAGAAATTTGGTCAGAATTTTGAGACCAGTTTCCTAACTCATTGCTAGCCAGGAAATGATCTTTGTAAAAAATCTGTTTGAGAGACTGGCAGCTCTTAACATTGTAAAACTGGACCATGCTTCCCATATTTAAATGAAATGTGCTTCTAGAACAAGTGGTGGGTGAGCACCATGCCAAGTTCTAGCTTGCTTGCCTCCAAATTATGTGAGTTCTAAGTGTGCTTCTTCCTCTCAGTATCCAGTAATCATGACTTCTCAATTTCCTTGTGGTCTCCCAGGTTCCAAAGCAAGGAGTTTTGCTCTACACAGTATATCTATAAACTACCAGAGCCTGTTTGGTTGGCATGTTCCAATCACACAGGCCTATTTAGGGATCTGCTCCAAATCAAGAAAGGACGTGGAAATAGTGATGGAATTCGAACTCTGGGCAGCCTCTGAATGAAATGCTATTTTCTTTAGAAATATAGTGACTGCCTTAGACATTTTAAGTTATATAAATAGTATTTAATATGCCCTATCAAGGTCTTCAGTGTTCTTCAGGGTAATTGGGATCTCAAAAGGTAATTGGGTAATTGGGATCCAGATATACACATTCTGTATTTTAAAGCTCAGTGTTTTTAAAAAAAAAGAAAGAAAGAAAGAAAATGCCACACAGCAAAAAGTGTTTACTTTGTTGGACAAACCAAATCGGTTCTCAAAAAATGACCGGTGCTTATAAAAAATTATTTAGTAGTAACCCCAAAACAAACCACCTGAATGCATATGACCCAGAGGGAAATAAACCTGTGTTTAGTACTTAATATTGGACACCAGTTTCATTATCACTTACTTAGGTGAAAACTGGTGCAGAAATTCTGTACTGGATGTTTTTGATATCTGCTTTTTGTTTTGTAAAAATGATAAAGTTCAGAAAATAAAATGTCAGTGTTGAATAATTTGTTTTTCTCTTACTTTAATACTTAAGAATGTGTGGTTAATTAAAAGGAAAGGTTTCCTATTTGATCTGCAGGTTCTTATACTTTTGACAAGGACTAATTTGGATTAGAAGGTTTATAAAATGACTTTCTTCAAATATAAGGTAGTAAAGGAGAGGCTCACTGATGGTGTAGGAGTCTGCTGATACTTCCATGTGGTTCCCTTAACCCCTGCTGAGCTGCTGTGGGCTCACTGCACAGAGACCTAGACAGAAAAATGCAGATCAACCTAGCAGCTGCGGTCATGGCCTCCCAGCTTCTAAACTATTTATATCTCAAATCTATTTCTTATCCTTGCCTGCTCTCAGTTTTCCTGCAATACCTGTCCACACTTCTGCTTTCAAGCTCTGGAAACTTAGAGGCGGTTCAGAAGACTCTGACTTATGAGACGTGAAAGCACTAGAAACTAAAGATAGTCAAGTAGGTATAACCACTTGCAACTGTATAACCACTTATATAACTTGAAATACAACAAAAGTGATATTGCAGTGCTATTCTTTTTGTTAAGATTTGTTTTATTTATCTATGCATACAAGAACTTGGGTGTAGGCCAGAGGTGTGGGGGTGAAGGGACGCACAAGAGACAAGAGTGGAGAGAGAACAGCCGGATCTACTGAAATATACTGCTGAGGGCAGCAGTGGGCAAGACAGGAGAGGTCTGCTGCACCAGGTGGGTCAGCTCCATGGCTGAGGATTGAACTCAGTGGCTTGATAGTGCTGAGACAACTCTTGCACTACCAGGGAGGCCCCTCAGTGCTTTTTCATCAGAGCCTTCTTGCCATCACTTTCATGACAGTGTTACGGAAAATTCCTGAGTCCTTGTTTTATAGTTACTACAATGGGTATGCTCAAAATCTGTCATTCTATCATCTGCATTTAGAGAGTAAAAATATGTCACTGTTAGTATAGCATAGGGACTGAATCAGAACGGATGCCAACTGGACACAACTGGCATCAACTGACGTATTCTGGCCAAATGTCAGCTGGGTTCTGTTGAGCATGACAATACTGTCTCGATGGAAACGAAGCCAGGATTAACTGTGGGAAAAAGGATGCAGGTATTAAGGGGCACTTTGGGCATGAAAGTTCTTTAACTCCCATTCATTAATCTCAGTGTTTTTACTTGAGCCATTTTTGCTTAGTTTTTGCCACTTTCTAAAGGCAAACTCTTGGTCATTAGGTAACAGCACCATGTAGGTAACATACTTGATGGCATGTGTCATGTCTCAGGAAATCCATGGATGCACAGGAGAAATTACCCTGTGGTATCAAAAGGGTATCAAAATAATACCCTGTGGTATTATTTTTTTTAATATTTTCTGTGTTCTCCAGGATCATGGTCATAATTCGAAGACTGATGTCTTGACCTTGGTCACAGTGGCTTTCAGCCTAACTGAAGTAGGATGGAAGCATTTTTAGGTTAATGTCATACAATTTAGTATTTGACTGTAAGAATAGTTGGTGTCAGGGTGAACTGGAGTCAACTGAGATAATCTGAACTGGCCAAGGAGAATGTTACGATAGGTTTAATCTTCTCTAACTCAAAGTAAAATTGTAGAAATGAAATGTATTTAGAGAAGTGGACTTTGATAAAGTATCTCTATGGGAGATTAGAGAAAGTAATGAGATTATAAGAAATTATATTTTTTACCTGAAATAGACACTAATCACATTCTCATCCCTTTTATAATAAAGGGGAAATTCATTTTATATGAAGGAAAGCATCAAGTTAGACCTTCACTTATAATAAAAGGGAATAAATAGTTTCATTTAAGAACTGTCACTTAGTAAAATATCTGTTATAGTCAGAGTATTATTTAAAAGTATTCTGTTATTGAAACCATATTAGTAGTCCTGCCCACGGGGGCCTAGAGTTGCACAAGTTTATGAGATAGAACACAAAAAAGAGAAAAACAGAGACATAAGTATCACCAGCATGTGGTAGTAACGTGGCTTTTATTTTCAAAGCAAGAATCTGAGTTGAGTGAGGACAGGTTAAAATACAAACCACCCTTTATTGAGTACTAACTATATATCTGTCTTTTTATCTTCAAAACTGAAGTGTCGAGAATATATATAAGATCACATTTTTATAGGCACCAGAACGAGAATAACTCACATCACCTTGACCAAGGTTATACCACACTTCTGTCTTAAGTCCAGTGTTAGGGGAATAGACATCTCTCCAGGACACACAAGGATTAGATTTCTCAAATGCCAAACCTTGGTGCTTGGGGGCTACTGTCAAAGTAAAGTCCACTCAGGAGCCCTTCAGGCAGGTGAAATTTAACAGGCACAGAGGTGGGGAGAATGATATGGACGTGGAGAGGTGCTACAGCAAGAGGCGTGCTCCGTGGCACACACAGCATAGCCTCAGATGATGTATTTTAACTAATAAAACTTTTTTAATTAGTTTTGCCATAATTTCACTTTGCAAGAACCAGAGCTGCAATCTCTCATTAGTCAAATTCAACTAATTGTTGGTTATAATTCATAATTATTGACTTAATTGAATTCCTAAGCATCATTTTGGCCATCTTGAATATAATTTTATGGGGCTCCATTTTGGAGCTGCCCCAAATTGGAAGTCTAGTTCCGGCCACACTTCTCTACTGCACTCATGTTCTTGTACAAAGCCAGTGGACTATCAGAGTATTCGCAGGGGAAATCCTGGGAAATGGGAGATCCCTAAAATAACTGGGGTTGAAAAATTGGGATCAAAATCAGATCCTTATGGATAAGGAACCAAGCCACCACTTATCATGCTCCAGCCCCAAAACAAGTATTTGTTCTTTGTGGACAAGCCTATTATTGCATCCCAGCCAGCCACGTGCTTGGGTTTATGTGGGTTTGAGTAAGTTCTAACCTGCTATTGTCTGCCTGTACTTTTTCCACTTCTTGTTTTCATTTGCTTTGTGTCCTTTCCTTTCCCTAATTCAATTCTCCTTTTTCTTTCTCTGCCCAGCCCCTGCATCTGCTGCCTGCCTTCTGTTCCCTGGCTCTACTTCCTCTGCTACATTTTTCCAATTAGTTTACCTGACACTTGTGCCTAAGGAATCAGTCATTTCTACTAATTAAATGTGTGGTACTCAGGCAGATTAGTTTAACTAATGCCCCCCCACAGTTCTCCAATTGACTCAAATGCTTAAATAACTAATTTTTAAACTGTGTAAATGCTGATTTTATTTCCACAGATCACTTTGGCTGGCAATTTAAAACATAACCTTAGATCTAAGATAGGCCAGTTTTTAAATTCACTTTAGATTTACAAATAACTTCATCTTACAAAGAAATACAAAAAACAAACAAACACCAAAGTGATTGGAAAAAATGGGAATGGGAAGATAGCCCAATGAAAAGACACGTTGTGTGCTCTGAACATTTCAGAAAGGGGTGCTCCTAAACAAGGTTTATCCTGTGCTCTTCCCAATTCCCCTCACCCCACCCCACTCCACCTCAGCCCAATGTCATTGGTAAAATATGCGAAAACCCCAGTGTATTAAAACTGGGGTGCCTCGCGGCACCAGTCACCAGTCAAGATGCAGAGACCTGGGGCACTCACAGAGATACACCCTCTGCCTCAAGGTGGCGCTGCTTCCCCATGCTGAGCCAACTACAGAAACATGGGACTCAGAGTCCTCTCATAAATTTGTTTTTCTTTACCTTTTATGTTACTTGCATGTTTAAAGATGATAAACATAAATTATCTCTGTTTCTATCTCATTTCCCTATAAACAGTTCCCTGAAGGCCATATACATGAAACAAATTGAACAGTATGACTTAGCTGTGTTTCTGAGTCCAGTGTCTAAGCCTAGCATTTAGCTAATGCGAGCCCAGAACACTGCTTAGCCTTTGTGCCAAACTATAAGACTAGCCTATGTGACTAGACTTCCTGATGTCACAGTAACGTGTCTTGTTCTCCACAATCCCTTAACATAGTCAAAGCTCAAAAGCTACCTCTTGATTGCATAATATTGATTGAGCCAAGTTACTTAAGACAGCCCCAAGTTCTATGTCCAGGTCCTAGGGTGCCTGAATAGGACAACATATCAGAAGTGCAAATCAAACTCTACAAAGAGTAAAAGAATCCTCCTTGGGTTCGTTCAGACAGTCTAGAGCCAATCAAATTTAGTCACAAGTTCAGTTCACGTCAGTGTGGACATTTAGGCAGAAAATTATCTATAGGTGGAAATCAGAGGCCCTGCTGATAGCTCCTGCAGCTCTTCCTAGTGAGTGGCTCTGCAGGTCAGCAGAGAAAGTGGCTGTGGGGTAGAATTCAAGCTCACATCCAGATGACAGGGCACTAATGAGAGTTATATGAAACAGCTTTCCTTGTTTTGAGGCATAATACACATCCTTTAATGGTAAATACCAATTAAACAGTTAAATTATTAAATATTATCCATGAACTTATAATACCTTTTTTTTCAAGATTTATTTATTTATGGATACAAGAACTGGGGTGCAGGCCAGAGGTATGAGGGGTGAGAAAATTCAGCAGAGACAGAGTGGGGAACAGAACAGGCAGACTGACTGAAATACATGGCTGAGGGGAGCAGCAGGGGGTAAGAGAGGAGAGGTGTGCTGTGCCATGTGGGTAGCTCATAGCACTGTGCTTAATCCCTTGCACCACCAGGGAGGCCCCTCTTTCTTGACTCTATTTATACTTAGAATATTCTAGTCATGTCAATTCTTAGGCAATGAATGCCATTATTGGGTAATGTGACTGAACAACAGTGTTCCCCTTTTGTTTGTCTAAAAATTAAATCAAGATTCCAGAAGCACCTCTGAATTAAGGTTTTCATCACTTTGATGACTGAGTTATAGGTCAGTGCTTTCACTGACCCATGGTTTTATAATTAACCGCTATAATTTTTATTTCCAGCATTCATTTGATAAGTTTCTTTGATTCAATATTCAAAAAGAAAAAAAAAACAACCAACAACAATAACATACTGGGGTAATTCTCCCACT